GAAGCCTCACGAGCGGATCTGCTACAGTGGAGCCAGTGCCCAAGATGCTGCTGAGCTCATCGGGGAGCTGGACCCCGAAACCGCGTCCCACCGCCGCAGCCAGGTCAGCGCCTTGGAGTGAGGTTTTCTGGGCCCTTACTATGCTGTTAACAATGTCTCTGCCTTCCAGCAGTATTTTGGGGAGAGACCCCAGGCATTTGGGAGGCAGATCCTGGGCAGAGCACCCACCTCCTTCCTGCTGGGATCGAAATAATTTAGGGTTTTCCTTGAAACCTACCCTGGAAATAAAACCAAGCACAAACACTCCCCACCCGGAAAAAGCCTTTAGCCCACAGCAGGAGGAAAAATACCAGGCACATTTCCCGTGGGGACAGCAGCAAGGGCAAGGGGACACAGAGGGGGAAGGTGACACAGAGGTGACCAAACGGTCACAGACAAAGCTGGCTGCTCAGGAGGAAAGGAGAAAAAAAGCAGCGGAAAGGAAGGAGAAAATCCAACAACCTGCAGGAAATGCTGTGGGATTTCCAGCCCCATGGCCCAGACAGCTCTGCCCCCCTCTTCTGCTCCTCCCTGCAGGTTTGAAGCTGGTGGAAATCTGCTTAGAAATCACACGGATCTGGTTGGGGTTTGTTCCCTCAGCCTCCTGCCCAGCAGCGGGGCTGGCAGCATCCCATCCCCCCTGCCAGCAATGCCTGTGAGCATCACAGCAAACAGACCCCCAACTTCCCTGTTTAAGGATCTCAGGGCAGGGATGGGTAGGTTTGCAATCCCACTGCTGGCTGAGCTCCTGTTTTCATTGCCTAGAAATATCTGGACAACTCTTCCCGTGGTGGCTTTCAGCCGCACGCAGCCCTGTGCAGGGCAGAGGCACTAGAGCCGTACCCTGCAAGCGGAGCGGGGCGCTGGGGAAGGTGCTGTTTAGACGGCTGTGACCTGAATTGGCGATGCAGAAATCGAAGGGCTTCCAGCCTTCCCCAGACCCGCTGTCCCAGCTGGATGTCCCCGACACCACCAGCTGTCACTGTGGCAGTTGGGATGTGATGCCTCCTGAAGCTACATAGAGATCCAAACCTCACGGTGGCTCTCTTGGCCCAGCCATGAGCTCACCGAGGGACACAGTGGGGTTTAGCACCAGAGGCTGCCATCCCGGAGGGGTTTCCACCATTCCAGACCAGCTCACCTGCCCCTTGCTCCTGCTCCCTCAGGAAGCGCAAGCCTGAGGAGACGCTTGTTTTCGGGGTGCCCCAGAGCAGTGCTGCTGCTGCAAGCCCCGTCTCGGTCCCATCCCTTCTCTCAGTCCCTGGCAAAGCAGTCACAGAGACGCTCTCAAGTTAAACTCTCCATTTATTGGATCCTTTTACAAAAAGACTCAACATTGTGCTCATGTTGAAGAAATGTTTCTTTTCTCTCAGTTTTTTGTTTTGTTTTTTTGAACCTGGTGCTCACGGAGCAGTTCGCACAGCCACGGCGCAGGGGAGGGCGGGGCACGAGGGGGGTGCGTGTCACCGCAGACGATGCTATTTACAGCGAACGTTGAGAAAGACCTTGCTCCGCACCCGGCACCTGCCGGCTGCAACCCCGGTCCTGGGTGAAGCAGCAGAAACAATGAAAAGGGGAAAAGGCTTTTTTCCCTCAGGAAAACTGCAGCTGCCGAGAGACCCTCCCGTCTCCTCCAGCCTGGGGCGGCGGAGACCGTGTGCCCCAGGGGCTGCTCTGTGCTGGAGCTGGGATGAATTGTACAACCTAACCTGAGCTTCGGAGTTCCCCTGGGACCCCCTGAAAATCACGGGAGAGCGACGGGTGGCAAGGGAGGATATTCGGGATGGTGGATGGGCTGGACTACTCTCCCGAAAGGCCCATCTCCTCTCTGATGGTGGAGGGAAGCCTAAGGGCAGCGCAGGTCCCAGGATGTTGCAGGAGCACAAAGTCGGGGTGTGAATCACAAGTCTGTACTCTGGAGGGGTTTTGGTGTCTAATTTGGGAAAAAGCCAACGCAGCAGCAGATTGGGAGGGATGGCACCAGCCCTGCAGGTGGGGAAGGAGATGCTCTCACTGGCATGGAGTTTCCTTACAGCACCCCATCCCTCCCACCACTGCTGCTGCCCAGCACATCCCACCTTGAGCAGCTGCCAACCAATGGCTGCAGCACCCGTTTACCCCTGCACCCCCAAATCCTTTCCCTTCGGGGGATCTCAGCAAGGAGGAAACCATCCCATGACACTTGCAGTGATCCCATCACACAGCCTCTCCCTGCCGAGCCTGACCCCCAGCTACCGCAGCACCGGGGATCCTCCAAAACACCCGCCACCTTGGGCAAGAGGTGAGCGTGTTAAGAGCCTGGGAAGAAGAGAAATTTGCATTCCCACCGCTGATCTCTACTGGCCTTAAGCTGAAACGCACCAACGGAAAGAAGAAAGCCCCAGCCTTGGGCTCGCCGCCAGCTCCGGCTGCAGCCGCGCAATGAGGCTCAGCAAACCCCCAGCCCCTGTGACGCAAACAGCAATGCGAATACTTCCCGTCGTGTCCGCGTCTTCCCAGCTCCCTGCATTATAGTCTCTCACCAGAATAATAAAATTTGCCTTAAGATTTCTGAAAATAAGTTGCTGAGAAGTGTGTCTTTAGACAAATAAAGTGCAATCCACGCCTCCATCCATCCGTGCTCCCATTTGACTCCTGCTGTGCAGGTAGAGGGGTGGGAAAGGCAGAGCTGCCTCCGCCCTTGGCTGACACCGGGGACCTGTGCTGTATGTGAGCGACAGCATCGCTGCTAACAAACCCCTGTTAACGAGGGGAGAATTAAAGCCAGGGCGTCAGGCCCCTTGGGGATGCTGAAGCTGGTGCAGCTGCTGCCGAGTGCCATGTTTCCACGCTTTAACAGGGGCGGAAAACATCCTTCCAGGTGTTTCAGGGCCTCGCAGGGGTCTCCGATCACATTTTCCAAGAGACTGTGAGCCTTCACGTGCTCTGTTTTGAGCACCTGACGTTAAAACAAAAAGAGAGTGGAAAGGAAGAAAACCATACAGAGAGGAAAAGACACCCTGATCCATATGTCGCTGTTGTCTGTAGTGCTGCGGAAGGCATGAGCCGTCGGGCTGCCCCTTCCCTTCCCCTTCCCAATGACTCCCATCTGCAGGGCTGACACAAAAAGCTGGCTGAAACGTGGCCAGAGAGGTCATTTAACACCCCAAAACGTGGTGCAGGCTGTGGGAGAGGAGCGCGGAGGGGGCTGACCTTACGAGCGAATTCAGGAGCTGCTGACAGACCATCCCTGCTCCTATGTTGGGACACACCAGAGACACAAGCAAGAGGTACGATCCTTTGGCTGCAGGGCGCTGGGATGCTGAGCAGCATCATGCCTCAGTGGAAAGTTGGGCCAGGAACGCTGGGGACACTGAGGCGAATCACACAAGTTTCATCTTCCCGTCTACCCAGCGAGAGCTCTTCCAGGCTGCCCTTAAACATCTGGGATGCATTGAGGGAGCACATCAGACAAGAGAGGGCAACCCGTGTCCTTACCCCCTGTTACGGGATAGGATGGCAGCAGAACAGAGTGGCCAGTTGAGCACAGAGGTTGGGTGGTCCCATGGACGTAACGGTGTTTCGCTTTGGTGGGAGAGAAACCAGCTCCAAAAACAGCCCCGTGAACGCGATCCCAGCAGCGTCTCCCAGGTCACGTGAAAGAAAAGCTCTCCGTGGGATTAACCTTGGAACGCAGCCCCACACCAGGGCACGAGTGCAGCCAGGAGGGGGGGTTAAGGCAGTTATTCTGAAGCCCACAGGCAAACCCAGCGTGGGCACCTTTTGCTCGGGGATGGAGGATGAGGCGGAGCGGAGACTCCGGCCCATGGTGCACCACCAGACTCGGAGACTCCCTGCAGCTGCCTTTGACGCCACAGCAACCGGCTCGAACACATGAGCCCGGGGCACTGCCCACCCCTGCTGTGCTGCACCTGGATAGTTCCCAAACCCCAAACACGCTCCTTGTCTTCCGAGGCTTAGCAGCGCCCGTGGAGTGCCACGTGGGGTGGAAAAGGACACTGAGAGCAAGACTGCAGCAGCCGAACTCCCTTGGGGCTGCAGCACCGGAGCCGGCG